GTGAGTGGTTTAGGTCAAGGTTCATTTTTTGGCCTGTGATGTCCCGTGGCTCCAGCACCATTCGACAGAAAGGCTGTCCTTCCTCCAGTGAATTGTTTGTGCCCCTGTCAGCAATCAGTTGGGCATATTAGTGTGGATTCTCCATTCTGTTCCGTTGATCTGATACCACCCTGCAATGAGTCACCTTCAGCTGATATCTTAAATGTTCAGTTAATGTTTTAGTAGTCCTGTTTTGAAAAACAGAAAGAAACAGATGCCCACAAATACTTTTAAAAATGGTAAGTTCATGAGAAGTGGCAAAAAGTATAATAAAGAGGCCCTGCTGTACCCATCATTCGGCTTTCCCCAGTGGAAGCATCACCTAGAACAGTAGCCCATTACCGAGGGCCAGGACATTAACATCGGCACGATAGTGCTCCCTTAACTACAGACCTCACTAGGATTTCACCAGCTTCTGCATGAGCTCGTGTGTTCTTGTGTGTGTGTGCACCCGTGTGTGCGTGTGTGTGTGTGGGGGGGGTAGGTCTGCATCATTTCATCAAGGTGAAATTAATTTTACTAATATATTTTATTTAACCCAACATAGCCAATATATTACCATTTCAGCATGTAATCAATACAAAAATTATTGAGAGACTCTACATTCTTTTATTCATACTAAGTTCTTAAAACCATGTCCACTATATTCGTCAGTAAGTTGACTCACTGTGTGTAGAGCTTATTTAAAAAGATAGTTGATATCCCTGCATTCGATGGAAAACTGACATGACTTGCCATAATAGAAGGAAACCATAAATAGGATATGACAAAAAGGTATAATTCCGTTCCACGCAGATGCCGTAGCCTGCCTGAGGCCTGCTCCCTCACTGTCAGAAAGGGGGATTATGAAGTGTTACAGGAGGGGTTCGGGACACCGTAGCACCAGACTGACCTTTCCCATAATCGGAAAAGTTAAAGGGGAGCTAGAAATAGAAATCACACTGTGATTCCGTATGATAAGACCCCATGCCAGTGAACTGTCCAAAATCGTCTCGGGAAGAGCAGGAGGCCCCCGCCATGCTTCACCCCTTGCTTCCTGGGCTCCTGGCAAACAGGAACAGCGTTCTGGGGTGCCAGGCCCCGTGCTTGGGACCAGGGACCCAATGGTGCGGTAGACAAGGTCCTTGCCAGTTTAGTGGGGGTCGTGCAGAGTCAGACGGAGGCAAACCCGGGGGCTGTAAGAGCACATAGGAAGTACCTCTGCCAGGCAGAAGGCTACCTGCTCGCTTTCCAGGCAAGAGGGGTGAGGAAGGGCCTCTAGGAAGAGGGGCCGGCAAGAGCAAAGCCCGAGGGGAGACTCGTGCATGATGTGGGGTGTGTATGTGTATCTGTGTGGGTTTGTGTGGGGAGGGCGGGAAGTGTGTGATGGGCATGGTGGCTGGAACATAAAGGACAGGAGGGTGGGGGTGACAGTGAGAGGTGGGGCTGGGGAGGAAACAAAGAGGAGGCTGCTGAGGGATAAATGCATTGGGGGGGCAGGCTGGGACAAGCAGGCACTGGGAAGGAGGCTACTGGGGTCGTCCTGGTGCAGGGTCATGGAAACCTAGCCTAGAAAGGGAGTGGGAATGGGGAGGTGTGCTGGGACGAATCTTCTGGAGGTCGGTGGGTGGGAGGACAGGCTTTTGGTCAGGGTGGACCCTCAGCCTCTCTCTGGAAGCCCTGAATAGCTGAAGGATTCCCCACCCCTCCCAGCCCGGCCCGGGGCAGGCTCTCTGCCCTCTCTCTTCGCGCCCCTCCACACCCTTACTTAGATCAGCTCGTCTGCCCCCACTTGTGCCCAGAGGCCTGACAGATTCAGAGCCTCGGTTACCTGGGCTGTGTATCAGGAACAATGCAAGCTGCCCTGCAGTCTGCTGACATACCACAAGGAAAATGCTTGAAATCTGTAATCCTTCTGTAGGGCCATTGCAGGAGTAAAGGGGAGAGGTCAGTTTTGTTCATCTTTGTGTCCTCTGCTCCTGGCCCTGCGCCAGGCACGTGGGAGGCCCTCAGTAAATGTGTGGAGGGAGTGGATGGATGGATGGAGCGGGGCATCCTCCTCATCTTGTTTCCCCATGCCTAGTGTGGTACCTAGCACGGTGTGGGTACTTCCAAATTATGGGTAAATGAGTGAATGGGGAAGGAGAAAAGGTAGTAAGAAAGGAAAGAAACAGTCCTCTCCCTTCCGAACCCCCTAGGCTTAGTACGCTGCCTGCAGAATAGAAGTTCCACAGATACTTGAATGTATGAATGAATGAATGAATGAATAGGAAGGAAGGCAGGGAGGGCGGGGATATGGGAAGAAAGAAGTAGCCTCGCACACGTTTATGTATCCCCAGGGCCTAGCCAGTGCCCTGCACATAGTAGGTGTTCATTTAATATCCGTTGGATGTCCATGAATGATAGCTGGGTGTCTCTGGAGCTCAGGGTCCCAGGCCAGAGCTAGCATCCTCTTCTGGCTCGGGCTGGCTCTCCCCAGGGGTGACCTTGCCTCTGCCCCGGCAGGTGGACGAGCAGATTCACGCGTGCTACACACAGACAATGGCTGAGTGGCTGGGCTGTGAGGCAATCGTGCGGCAGAGGGAGCGGGAGTCCCACGCGGCTGCCTTGGCTAAATGCTCGTCAGGGGCCAGCCTGGACAGCCACCTGCACCGGATGATGCACCGGGACTCCACCATCAGCAATGAGGTGATGGGCGGCACCCATCCGGGAGCACGGGGGGCAGTAAAGGCTGGGATCTGTGCCGTTTATTGTAGGAATGGTGACAGCTGGGTGTCTGGAGCCGTCACCCCTAGCGTTTGTCAAACCATGGAGTTTGACAGACCTGGGTTTGAATCCAGCCTCACCATTTCCTAGCTGTGAGGCCCCAAGCAAGCACCTTTACTTCTGGGCCTCAGTTTCCACATCTACAAAATGGGAACAACCATTTGCGTAGGGGAGGTTTGTGTGCAGCTCACGTGAGACAGTGCACACAAAGCGCCTAGCACAGAGCTAGACTTTCATGTATTCAGCAAATGCTCACTGAGTGCCTACCAGCATGCCAGGAATGTCCTGGAATGTCAGGAACGCTCCAGTGGCCAAGTCAGACCTCTCGGCTCTCACAGAGCCTCCAGTTCAGCAGCCCAAAGAAGGAGCTGAGAAGAAAGTTAATTCTCTTCCCCAGCGGTGTATACTCATCGGGTTGCCAGCAATCATGGTGCATAGCATAGCAGCAACCGCCAAAAGTCAGCGGCTTCTAACAGTAAGCACTGAATGTATGCGCATGGATCTGGCTCAGCCGAGCACCTCTGAGCGGGGCTGGCTGGGCTCACTCTTGCGCCCACTGTCAGTGTCTGGTCAGCTAAAAGGTTTGTTGATCTTCGCTGGGCTCTCTCCCACGTCTGGGGTGACCGGCTTATGCTCCCCGTCTCATCCCCCAGCAGGCTGAGCTGGGCACATTTCTTGTAGTGAACGCAAATCATAAAGAGACAAAGCGGAAATACACACAAGGGCTGGTTAAACCCCTGCCCTGGCGAGGTTGCTGACATCCCCCTGGCCGAAGCAGGTCACAGGGCCCAGCCTTGCGAATGAGTAGGCAGGAGTTAGAAGTTATAGGGCAAAAGCATGCCGACAGAGAGGGGAATAACAAAAAATCAGGCCCTTAGTGCCAACCAGTCACTCGGACTTGAACTTATATATTAGCCAGAAGTCTCAAGTACAGGGCAGCTAAAGGTAGGGTTTTCCAGTTGCAGGAGTGGGAGGTGGGGTCCTGGGGGTTCTGTGTGGCCCCTGAGGCTCCAGGGAACAGAGGGAGACCCTCCCCCCACCCCCCGCCTTCTCGTTGTACAGATAGGAGGCTGAGGCCCTGATAGGACTTGCCCAAGTCAGGAATAGAGATGGGACCACACTTGCAGAATCCCTGCTTGAGCTGAGGGGCAGGGCCCCAGAGCTGGGATGCAATGCCTCACCCCTGCTTTCTCGGCCCCTTTTTCTATCAGTCCTCCCAGAGCTGCAGTTCCGGCCGACAGCATGTCCGCCTGCAGAGTGACTCCAGCAACAGCACACAGGTGACCTTCCGGAGGCCCCGCGCCTTCCCCATCCTCCCCTTCCCCCCCATCCACCCCCTCCCTCCAACCTGGAGTAAAGGCTCTGGACATCCATCATCTATAGGTCACTTATGGTCTATTTGTTTTAGCTTTTTATACTGGCATTAAAAATGGAGTTTTTAGTTGCACAAGTAATACATGAATCTCTTCTCCTTCTAAATAATTAAAATATTGCAGAGAAAGCTAAATTTGGCTTTGACCGTTCCTAATCCCCACTTGCGCTCCCTAGAAATAGCATCATTAGCTGTGTGTCCTGTCACCCTGCTGATTGCCTCTACAGACACAGAAGTATGTACACAGTATGTAAAGGATGTATTGCAATGTTTGATAATTTTTGAAAATTTCTACATAAATGCCATCGTATGTATTGGCCCACAGCTTTCCATTTTTTTTTTTTTTTTTTATTCATGAGAGACAGAGGGAGAGAGAAAGGCAGAGGGAGAAGCAGGCTCCCAAGGAGCAGGGAGCCCGATGCGGGACTCGATCCCAGGACCCCGAGATCATGACCTGAGCCAAAGGCAGACACTTAACCATCTGAGCCACCCAGGCGCCCCACAGCTTTCCATTTTATTCAATGAAATGTTAACTCATCTCACTGGATATTAAATAAAAAAGCAAAGCCCCCAAAATATGCACCCTGTGTCACCTTTTGCATAAAAAGAGGAAATATTAATATTTATATTATTTCTATTTTCAAAAACAATGGATGAATAAGCCAGAAACGAATCAGAATGGTTACCTACAGGAGTCAGGGAAGGGGCACAGGGAAAGAAGCTACATTTCCATGAATACCCCTTGTTTCCTGGTTCCAACTTTGGAGTTAGATACTTTTTTTTTTTTTTACATAATTTAAAACAATTGAATTTAGAAGAAATTTTTAAAAACCAAAAACGTGATTTTAACAGCAAATCAGATTGGTGACATAAACACGCAGAGAAGAAATATTTCATGTCCCCTTGGAACATGGTCTTATCTCCTTAATAGGATATGATCTCAGGACACAAAGAACCACAGATAAATCTTTGAGATGTATCCTGGAGGCTTTTCCACAGTGGTTCATACATATCTAACTACTTTTGAAAATTGATCTGTAATAGCCAACCATGTGGATATAATACGCTGTTTTTAGCCTGTTCCTTATGTTTTTAACTAATTCTTTACTTAAAAGATCTACATGCATATAATTTTGTGTGATGAAAGGTGCGCTTCTTGCCGCTTGAATTCCCAAGTACTCCCTCCTCAGACAATTTCAGTGCTTCTTTATTTCTGGATTATTCTATGCATTTTCATGCAATAGGTCACTTTTTAATTTTCACAACGGGAGCAGATATTATACCTGGTTCCACCCCACCCCTTTTCCCAACTGTATAGTATTCCATGTGCGTGTTCCATATTTGAACCCGTCCCCCGCTGCTGGGGATTTAGGTTGCTGCTGGAAGCCGCGCCACAGTGGACATCCTCGTCTCTCTGTTTTTGTGCACCTTGCCTTCAGGTGTTTGAGTCTGTGGACGAAGTAGAGCAGGTAGAGGTGGAAGGCAGGTTGGAGGAGAAACAGCCCAAGATCCCCAATGGGAACCTGGTGAATGGCACCTGCTCCCCGGACTCTGGCCATCCCTCTTCCCACAACTTCTCCTCGGGCCTCTCGGAGCACTCGGAGCCCAGCCTGAGCACAGAAGACAGTGTCATGGACGCCCAGCGCAACGCCCCCCTGGCGCTCCGACCTGGGGACAGCAGCGCGGATGACGGGCAGAGCAGCGAGGCCACCACCTCCCGGGAGGAGGCCCCCCGCGAGGAGCTGGCTGTGCAGGACAGCCTGGAGAGCGACCTCCTCGCCAACGAGAGCATGGACGAGTTCATGTCCCTCACTGGCAGCATGGACGTGGCCCTGCCCGAGAAGGAGGGGGCTGCCATGGAGGGCTGGGGGGGCAGTGAGGTGGAGAAGCACAGCCAGGTGGATAGCGAGGACAACCTCTCAGAAGAGCCCGAGATGGAAAGTCTCTTCCCCGCCCTGGCTTCTCTGGCCGTGGTCACTTCTGCCAACAACGAGGCGTCCCCTGTGTCTTCCAGCGGTGTCACTTACTCTGTAAGCCACCAGGGTTCTCCTCCACTCGGTTCTCTCACCTAACAGCTGTGGGAGGGTTGGGCGTGTCCCATGAGCCTCAGTTTCCCAGCACGACCTCTGGTCTGTTACATTTTCCCCAGCACAGAGGCTGCCCTGGAGAAGCCCCTTTGGGAGGGAAGACAGTATCCTACCTCAAGATCACAGGCTGTGCAGTTCAAACCGTCCCAGGTTCAATCCCAGCTGAGGCATGTCTGTTTATCTCTCTGAGCCTCAGTTTCCCTATCAGTTGGGTACCTTCTCTCTTGAGCTCAGAATTAGTGAGTCCGGTCCTCCGTGCCTGACATGTGGTGAGCCCTCCCTGTCAACAGCAGCCTTGAGGATGAGCATCTTGGCGCACACTCAAGTCCAGCAACTTTTAAATACTCAAGTTTGCTTTCTTGCCAAAAAGTCCAAGCCAAAGGATGTCAGCTGAATGGGAGGTTTTCTGAGCCAGGCGTGGTGTTTCCATTTTCCTTTAAAGAACTTCTTTCTTTCTTTCTTTCTTTTTTAAAGATTTTATTTATTTTTGACAGAGAGAGAGAGCACAAGCAGGGGGAACAGCAGAGAGAGAGGGAGAAGCAGACTCCCCGCTGGAGCAGGGAGCCCAATGCGGGCCTCGATCAAAGAACGCTGAGATCATGACCTGAGCCGAAGGCAGACGCTCAACCGTCTGAGCCACCCAGGCGCCCCTAAAGAACTTATTTCTAAGATATACTTGCCCATAGTTTATAGAGTCAAAACAAACCAGCCTAAATAGGGAACCAGAAGTGCCCCCCACCCACCCGCGTGGAGCTCTCCCAGAGGCAGTGGAGGTTACTTACTCTGCCCAAATTATCTGGTGTTTACTCTCATGTCTGTAAATAACTTACTTGTATTGCTACTTCTTGATCTTTTTTTTTTTCCTTTTTCTTCAGTTCCAGACATTCCACACCCACACCCTCACCCCACGGGTGACACCTTCCCAGCCCTATCCATCCACTACAGTTATAATCATTTTAGTTATACATTATGCTAGTATAACAACATAATGTATACACCATCTAGGAAGCTGTATTTATTTTTTCTTTCCTACCAAAAAAATTCTGTTTTCCCCGGATGCGTTTTCATTTCCTTGTCTCTGTTTTCCTTTCCTACGTTTGCCACATGTGGATCAGCAGTTCACCCCCCAGCCTCCAAACTCTGCCAATTTTCTAAATCTCTCCTGGAACGTTCAGACACATCAGCTTTTCTGTTCATTTTTATGTCTCAAGAAGTTTCCCCAGTGGCCTTTCCCAGTCCACTGCTCCCGATAGATAGCTGTCATCTTAGATTTGTCTTCACCTTCATGTAGAAGTTACTCTTGCTTTTGGATTATCCACCTGCATACATTGTAAACCTGATTCAAAGCTATTAATTATCCAGGGAGATATATTTTACACTTCACTTGGCACCTCTATTCACGACAGGCATCTGTCCTTGAGACCCCAAATGTTAGTTTTTCTTCCAGGCGTCCCTTACCAGGGATGGGGCTTTTGGGGGATCCCACCTTAATGTAGGAAAGTCTCTTAATAGATTCCTGACCTTAGGGGAGAAGGACCCCAAAACCATTCAATCCAAGCTTACATTTTGCCAATTTGGAAGCTTCCTTCAAGGCAAAAGCCAGACTTGGTATTTTCTTGCCTTTTTGGGTTAAATTTTGGCCTTGAAATGTTCCGTATTTTTCTTGCCATATCATTGCACCTTTTCATCAGGTGGGGTCAAGGCAGCAAGTCCAGCTTATGGCCGGAACTGGACTTCTGCTCGCTTCCTCCATTCTTCCTGTCCCATGTTCAGGGGGTGGGGATGCACCTCCAGCTAGTTATAACCCTCGTGCGCTCAACGGGGATAGTTAGTCTGTGCACCTTAGAGAATTGTCTTGTTTCACAGAAGGGAGAAAAACAAAAAGAACTGTCATCATCCCGGGCAACAACAGAAAGGAAACCAAACACCCACGCGGTCCAGGGAGAGGATGTGCATTTCAGCGGCACCAGGAGCCGATGAGGCGGGAGGAGGGAGAACCTGTGGAATCCGACCTCTGGGAGGAGTGGGGGTGTAACTGTTCTTTCCTTCCCCTCCCTGGGGGCCTGCAGCCGGAGCTCCTGGACCTGTACACGGTGAATCTGCACCGCATCGAGAAGGACGTGCAGAGGTGTGACCGCAACTATTGGTACTTCACGCCCGCCAACCTGGAGAAGCTACGCAACATCATGTGCAGGTGGTTGGGGGTGGGGGAGGGGGTCTGCAGGGGCGCGGAAGAGGGTAGCAGAGGCAGGAGCCCCAGGGAGCCCAGCCGGACGGCCGCCTCTGCCCCAGGCACCTTGCCCACCTGGCGTTTATGCCAGCCCACACTGACCAGATAACAGTCAGACTGATGATAATAACAGAGAGCATTTATTAAGCCCTTACTGTATACCAGGCTCTCTCCTGAGCCCTTTACTAAAAGCTGTTTCACCTCGTCCTCACAGCAAGCCTGTGGGATGTTAGCTCCCACCCCCCTACCCCACCCATCCCCCATCTACAGAGGAGGAAACGGAGGTTGAGGGCCACCACATTGCTTGAGTCCCCCAGTGGGGCAGTTGGCTGAACGGGAGCTCATACTCACATCTCTCAGGTTCTAGAATCTTGTGCTTTATTTCCTTAAGCCAAGACCTGGAGCTTCTTATTACTTTTCACTACATACTGAATATTTTATTTCTCAAAATATGAAAGTAACTCAGGCTTATTAAAAACCTCAATCAACCAGCAAAACCAGAAGTTCATAAGGTCCAAAGAGAAACTGCTTCCCTCTCCAGTCATAACGCCCCCTCCCCTAGAAGAAACTCCTGCTAACGATTGAGCGAACATCTTCCCAAGCCACGTATGTATTATACGTGTAAAATAACAAAATAGATCGTATATATTGTATAATATCACATGAGTGCCTATGTGTTTTAATGTTTTTTTAACATGTTTTTTTTAAAACACATGTGTTTTGTGTTTTGTTTTTTTTTTAATTTTACCTATATGGGATTAATACTATGTTTTCTACAACTTGCTTTATACACTTAATAATGCATCCTGGACATCTCTCCATTCTACTCTAACTCAGGGGTTCACAAACTACTAGTATAGCCCACAGGCCAAATCCAGCCCAGCACTCATTTTTGTAAATAAAGTTTTATTAGAACTCAGCCATGCCCATTTGTTTGCGTAGTATCTGTGATTGCTTCTGCAGAGTTGAGTAGTTAAGACAGAGAACATACAGCGTGCAAAGCTGAAAATAATTATTATCTCTCAGGAAAGGTTTGCAAACCCCTGCTCTAACTCATTTTTATTAATAAGTACTGTCTCCTAACTATTCTGTTTTATAGTCTCCTAAGCGATCATTGCCTCTCAAAATTGAGTTGAGGGGATACAAATATAATGAACTTTAATTTACTATGTTACATTAAAATGAAAAGGTGCTGGAGAAGAAGGAAGGATAGACCAACCTTTTCTGGGTTATGGCTTTGGGAGAAATCGTGGAAGGCCTCACAGAGGAGGTGACATTCAAGATGGCCTTTGGCAAAATTAGGAGAGACTCAAGAAACCACTTGGCATACATATACCCTGCGGTGAGGCCACCTGGGTTCAAATCCTGCCTCTGCCATTTATTATTAGGTGAATGACTCTATGCATGTCACTTATGTCTCTGGGCCTCAGTCGCCTCATCTGTAAAATGGGATATGATAATACCTTTCTCATATGATTATTTTGAGAATTTCATGGTGCTATACATGTTTAGTGCCTGAGTATATGGTAAATGCTCAGTAAATATTAGTTCTTATTATTAAGGGGCAGATGGGAACTCCAGGCACAGAACTGCTAGGGCAAAGCCCAGGGGCGTGAATATGTGCCAGAGAGGAAGAAGTACCAGGAGGTGGTGGTGGGGTGGTGAAGATGGATGGGGAGGAGACACTGAATGCCTTGTACCCCCAGTGAAGGAGTTTGCACATTGTCTTGTCATGCAGCGGGGAGCCTGTGAGCATGTGGTGCTCTGAGTTGGGCTTTAGGAAGCCCATCGTGGTGGCTGAGAATAGGATATTTGAAGAGTGTCAGGCTGGGGTAGGGGATGCAGGTGGGAGCTGAAGGAGTGAGTGGTCCAGGTGAGGGATGGGGGACAAGGGAGAAGGGAGAGGACGAGTGGGTTGGAGAGACAGGTCGTGAGTGCCATCCACGGGCCCCTTGTCTCTCTCGCAGCTACATCTGGCAGCACATTGAGATCGGCTACGTCCAGGGCATGTGTGACCTCCTGGCTCCATTGCTGGTCATCCTGGATGATGGTGAGTATGTCCTCCCCACTCCAGGGCCAGGGGTGCAGTTTTCTTCCTACTGCAGAGGAGGGGTGTTAACCTCATTTTGTGACTCCGTGGAACGAACGGGTCAGCACAGGTGCTCAGAGGACCTGTTGGTGAACACACCAAGGTCCTAGTGAAATAAAAAGTCTTGATGTTCCATATTAGCCAACACTTATTGCCAGGTGCCCAACACCCAGCCAGGCCTTTGCTGGCCACCGATTGTACAGATGTGAATGGGAACAAAGAAGAACCCAAGGCTGGATGTCTTCCCTGGTGAATTCTACCAAACACTTAAGAATTAATACCAATTCTTCACAAACTCTTCAAAAGGTAGAATAGGAGGGAATACTTTCCAACTCATTCTGTAAGACCATTCCTTATATGAGGACCCATCGGTACCTTGATATCAATACCAGACAAAGATATCACAAGAAAAGAAAACTACAGACTGATGTCCTTTTATGAATATAAAGACAAAAATGCTCAGCAAAACACTCGGCAAACTGAATCCAGCAAGATATAGTAGGGCTATATATCATAACTAAATGGGATTTATCCCAGAAACACAGGCTGGTTCAACGAAGTAATTCGCTATATTAATAGAACAAAGGACAACAATGAAACGGTCATCTTAGTTGACGAGGAAATGGCATTTGACCAAATCTGACACCCTTTCATGTTAAAAACACTCAACAAACTAGGAATAGAGAGAAACGTCCTAAACATGTTAAAAGGCACCTCAGAAAAACCTACAGCTAGTTCATACTCGATGATGAAAGACTGAATGCTTTCCTCCTAAGATCAGGAATAAGACAAGGATGTCCACTTTTGCTACAAAAGATTCTAGACAGGACAATTAGGGAAGCAAAAGAAATAAAAGGTGGCCATACTGGAAAGGAAGTAAAACTATCTACTTGCAGATGATGTGATTTTTTGGGCATACAGTAATCCCAAGAAATAAGAAAAAAAGTGTTGGAGGGGCACCTGGGTGGCTCAGTCGGTTAACATCTGACACTTGATTTTTGACTCGGGTCATGATCGCAGGGTTGTGAGATTGAGCCCCTTGTTGGGCTCCACACTGGGCATGGAGACTAAGATTCTCTCTCTCTCCCTCTCCCACTGCCCCTCCCCCCCCAAAATACTGGAGCTAATGTCCAGCAAGGTTGCGAGACACGAGACATATATACAAAAATCAGTTGTACTTGCCTACACTGGCACTGAACAATCCAAAAGTGAAATTAGGAAGGCAATTCCATTTGTAATAGCATCTAAAACAAGATACTTATGAATAAATTTAACAGAAGAAGTGAAAGATTTGCAGGTTCAATTACAGACCGCTGTGATACAGCGAATATTGCAATAAAGTGAGTCAAATGAATTTTTTGCTTGCCCAGTGCATATACAAGTTATGCTTACATTACACCGTGGTCTCTTAAGTGTACAATATAGCATTATGTCTAGAAAAATAATGTACATACCTTAATTTAAAAATACTTTATTGCTAAAAAAAAAAAAACCCATCATCTGAGTTATGGGTGAGTCATAATCACTGATTACAGATCACCGTAACAAATATAATAATAAGGAAAACGTTTGAAACATTGCAAGAATTACCAAAATGTGACACAGAGACATGAAGTGAGCAAATGCTGTTGGAAAAATGATGCCGGTAGACAGACTTGCTTGGTGCAGAATTGCCACAAACCTTCAATTTGTAGGAAAAAAAAAAAAAGGCAGTATCAGAAAAGTACAATAAAACAAGGTATGCCTGTATACCAAAACTGTAAAACCTTGTTGGTTTTTTTTTTAAAGATTTTTATTTTATTTAGTTGACAGAGAGAGACACAGCGAGAGAGGGAACACAAGCAGGGGGAGTGGGAGAGGGAGAAGCACGCTCCCCGTTAATCGGGAAGCCCTATGCAGGGCTCGATCCCAGGACCCCGGGATCGTGACCTGAGCCGAAGGTAGATGCCCAACGACTGAGCCACCCAGGCGCCCCCTGTAAAACATTGTTAACAAAATTAAGGATCTAGGGGCGCCTGGGTGGCTCAGTCAGTTAAGCATCTGCCTTCGGCTCAGGTCATGATCCCAGAGTCCTGGGGTTGAGCCTAGTGGGCCCCCTGCTCAGTGGGGAGCCTGCTTCTCCCTCTCCCTCTACCCCCGCCCCCGTTCATGTACTCTCTCTCTCTCAAATAAATAAAATCTTTAAAAAATTTAAAGATCTAAATAAATGGAAAGACACCTCATGTTTATGGATCAGAAGACTTAGTAGTGTTAAGATGGCCATTCTCTCCAAATTGATTCAGTGCGATTCCTATCGCTATCCCAGCTGCACTTTCTGTACAAATGGGCAAGCTGACCCTAAAACTCATTTGAAATGCAAGGGACCAAGAATAGCAAAATCAATTTTGAAAAAGGAGAAGATGTTAGAGGACACACAGTTCCCAGCTTCAAAACCTACTACATTATAGTAATCAAGAGAGTGTGGTACTTCCACAAGGACAGACACGTAGATCAGTACAATAAAATTGGAAGTCTAGAAATAGGGACGCTTCGGTGGTTCAGTCAGTTAAGCATCTGCCTTCGGCTCAGGTCATGATCCCAGGGTCCTGGGATCGAGTCCCGCATCTGGCTTCTCGCTCAGCAGGGGAGCCTGCTGCTTCTGCCTCGGCCCCTCCCCCTGCTTGTGCTCATTCTCTCTTTCTCTGACAAATAAATAAATAAAATCTTAAAAAAAAAAAAAAGGAAGTCCAGAAATAAGTGTTTCTGGTACATTTACATCAATTGATTTTGACAAGGGTGCCAAGACATTTCAGCCCAGCAAGGAAAGAAGGGTCTTTCCAACATATGCTGAAACAACCAAGTATCCACATGCACAAGATTGAAGTCAAACTCCTGCTTCATACTATATGCAAAACTACTAACTCAAAATGGATCATAGACCTAAATATAAGAGTTAAAACAATAAAATTATTAGAAGAAAACATAGGCATACATCTTGGTGACCTTGGGTTTGTGACTTTGGGTGTTAAGCAGTGGTTTCTTAGATATGGCACCAAAAGAATAAAGTGACAAAATTAGAAATAAATTGGACCTAACAAAATTAAAAACTATTGTGCTTCAAAGGACACCATCAAGAAAATGAAGAGAGGGGGCGCCTGGGTGGCTCAGTTGGTTAAGCGTCTGCCTTCGGCTCAGGTCATGATCCTGGAGTCCCGGGATCGAGTCCCGCGTCGGGCTCCCTGCTCGGCAGGGAGTCTGCTTCTCCCTCTGACCCTCCTCCCTCTCATGCTCTCTGTCTCTCATTCTCTCTCTCTCAAATAAATAAAATCTTTAAAAAAAAAAAAAAGAAAATGAAGAGAGCCCAAAGAATGGAAGAACATGCTTGCAAATCACATGTGTAATATAAGGGACTTATATCCAAAATATGTAAAGAGCTCTTACCATTCAGCAAGAAAAAGATAAATGACCCAATTAAAAATGGACAAAAGGTTTAGATAGAATTTCTCAACAGAATAGAAGACCTACAGGTGGCCAGTAAGCATATTAAAAGATGCTCAATATCTCTGTGTCACTAGGGACATGCAAATGAAAACCACAATGAGATACCACTGCACACCCACTAAGGTGGCTAGAATCAAAACCATGGAAACTATCAAGTGTTAGTGATAATATGGAGTCATCAGCGCCTTTGTACTTTGCTAGTGGGATTATAAAATGTCTAACATTTTGGAAAGCAGTCTGGCAGTTCCTCATAATGTTAAACATAGAGTTACTGTAAGACCCAGCAATTCCACTCCTAGGTATACCCCAAGAGAAATGAAAACATATGTCACACAAACACTCTGTGCAGGAATGTGCACGCAGCAGCATTATTCACAATAGCCAAAAAAATGGAAACAACCCAAATGTTTATCAGGGATGCATGCATAAACAAAATGTAGTGTGGCCATATACTGGAATACTATTTGGCCAAAAAGTAACTACTTGACACATGCTACAATGTGATGAACCTGGAAAAGTCTATGCTAAGTGAAAGAAGCCAGACAAAAAAGGCCACATAGTGCATGATTCCATTTATTAGAAATGTCCAGAAGAGGCAAAGCTGTAGAGACAGAAAACAAATGACTGACAGGGGCTGGCGGAAGAGGGAAATGGGCCATGACTGCTGATGTGTGGGGTTGTCTTTTGGAGGTGCTGAAAATGTTCTGACCTTCGAGAGGATGGTTGCACAATTCTGTGAATTATACTAAAAACCCGAGCCTTACATTTAAAACGGTGAATTTTATGCTGTGTGAATCTCAATAAGGCTGTTAAAAAACAGGGAGCATAATGCCCTACTCCTTAGACACGGGCTGTGCATCGTGACTTCCTTCCCAGAAGTTCAGTATAGAAAGGGGTGCGGGTGGGAGGGAAACTGTGTGGTAGAGAGACCATGACAAACACTGCAACAGCGAGGTGACCAAAATCAACATTACCGGTCAGAAATCATATGGATAGCAGGTGCTGGTGACATGATGTGATTAAAATAGCACATTACCCATGTGGTCCTTCTCCCAATAACCCCAAATCCCCGTCTTATCGTGAGAAAAACATCACAAATTCCAATAGAGAAGCCTCACCTAGAATACGTGACAACTGCTCTCACAACTTCCAAGGTCATGACAAACAGGGAAAGCCTGAGAAACTGTCCTATAGAGAGAGGAGAGGAGAGGGGGAGACCTGTACTAAGGTGTTATCCTAGATGGGTTCTTGGAACAGAAAATAAACAAAACTATGGAGTTTAGTTAATAATGTGTCATCAGTGGGTCGTTAATTGTAACAAATGGACCATGCTAAGATGTTCTTCATAAGGGAAACTGAGTGGGGGGGTATATGGAAATTGTCTCTGCTCTCTTCTCAATTTTTCTATAAATCTAAAGTGTTCTAAAAAATAAAGACTTTTTTTTAAAGATTTAATTTATTTGTCAGAGAGAGAGAGTATGCGCAAGCTCCAGCAGGGGGAGTGGCAGGCAGAGGGAGAAGCAGGCTTCCCTTTGAGCAGGGAGCCCGATGCGGGGCTCCATCCCAGGACTCTGGGATCATGACCTGAGCTGAAGGCAGACTCGTAACTGACTGAGCCACCAGGCGTCCCCAAAATAAAGTCTTTTTAAAAATGAAGATCTTACTATGCCTTGGGAAACCTTCCAGTCTAGTGTAACTTTCTCCCAAGTTACCAGGTGTAAAGAGGAAAAAGAAAAAAGGTACCACTTTCAAACAAAGTTATCTAAACGCTGGCTAAAACAGTATGAAACAGGTTTCTTTATTGCGGGACTTCTCAGAGCCTTTACTTTCTCAATTATATGTAGTTCCTCTCTAGCATTTCCCAAAGTTATTGGACCCTTTCTCTGCATAATGCCTGTTAGCACCCTTCTGGTATTGACAATCACCGTTTTAATTCAGCAGTTCCCAGACTTGAGAAATCCATGAACTGGTAGAATTTTGAAAAAGAAAAAAAAAAGTTCGGGACCAACAAAACATCATCTACTTTTTATTACAGCAAATAGGGATCTTTTAAAAAGAGTATGTGGGGGCACCTCAGTGGCTCAGTCAGTTAAGCATCCAACTCTGTGTTTTGGCTCCAGTCATGATCTCAGGGTTGTGAAATCGAGCCCCTCATCAGGCTCCACGCTCAGTGGGGAGTCTGCTTGAGATTCTCTTCCTCTCTCTCTCCCTCTGCCCTTCCCACAGGCGTGTGCTCTCTCTCTAAAACAAATAAATCTTTTTTAAAAAAGTAAATAAAAAGAGGATCTGGTGTCATCATCATTTCCTAAAAGAAAGGCTATTTCCACCCCTCAAAGGTGGAAAGCATGTGGTTAAGACTGCAGAGCATTCCCTGACGTGGGATACACGGACTCTCCCTTGTCTGTGTGTGTGTCTCCTCTGGCTGTGGACCTCATGAACCAGCTCGGGGCCTTCGACCTTGGGATCACCTTGGGAGCTCGTGTTCCCCGGGCAGTGGCAGCTGTTTCTCCTGTGCTCTTTCCCCAGAGGCCCTTGCCTTCAGCTGCTTCACGGAGCTCATGAAGAGGATGAGCCAGAACTTCCCCCACGGAGGCGCCATGGACACACACTTTGCCAACATGAGGTCGCTGATCCAGGTAGGACTGGTCCTATTCAATAATATAACTTCTTCCACCTCAGCCCAGTGGTCCTCAAATCAATAGGCTAGCCATGCTTAGTCGAACTCAATTCAGTTCATTCCAACTCCCATCAGCTCGAATCACTGCCACGGATTCATTCTCACTGAGCATTTATTCAGTCCAGGCCCCCTGGCTACGTAATGAACAAGACGTGGCTACGTAATGAACAAGCCCTTAAAAAGATGTTTGCTTGTCAGGGAAATCCAAATCAAAACCACACTGAGATACCACCTCACACCAGTCAGAATGGCTAAAATTAACAAGTCAGGAAACGACAGATGTTGGCGGGGATGCGGAGAAAGGGGAACCCTCCTACACTGTTGGTGGGAATGCAAGCTGGTGCAGCCACTCTGGAAGACAGTATGGAGGTTCCTCAGAAAGTTGAAAATAGAGCTACCGTACGACCCAGCAATTGCACTACTGGGTATTTACCCCAAAGATACAGATGTAGGGATCCGAAGGGGTACCTGCACCCCAATGTTCATAGCAGCAACGTCCACAATAGCCAAACTGTGAAAAGAGCCTAGATGTCCATCGACAGATGAATGGATAAAGAAGATGTGGTGTGTATATATACAGTGGAATATTATGCAGCCATCAGAAAAATAAAATCTTGCCATTTGCAATGACGTGAATGGAACTGGAGGGTATTATGCTTAGTGAAATAAGTCAATTAGAGAAAGACAATTATCATATGATCTCACTCATATTTGGGATTTAAGAAACAGAGGATCATAGGGGAAGGGAGGGAAAAATAAAACAAGATGAAATCAGAGAGGGAGACAAACCATAAGAGATTTTTAATCATAGGACACAAACTGAGGGTTGCCGGAGGGGAGAGGGGTGGAGGGATAGGGTAACTGGGTGATGGGCATGAAGAAGGGCATTTGATGGAATGAACACTGGGTGTTATATAAGATTGATGAATCACTGACATCTACTTCTGAAACTAATAATACACTGTATGTTAATTAATTGAATTTAAATTAAAAAAAAAGATGTTTGCTTGTATTGGTCCTTTTCCTCAAAGTAACATCTGGGTATATTTCTCTCTCTCTCTCTTTCTCTGTCTCTCTCTCTCTCTCTCTCACACACACACACAGCTTTATTGAGATATAATTCACATACCATGCAATTTACCCTTTTTATTTTTTTTATTTTTTATTTTTTTAAAGATTTTATTTATTTATTTGACAGAGACAGAGACAGCGAGAGCAGGAACACAAGCAGGGGGGAGAGGGAGAGGGAGAAGCAGGCTTCCTGCTGAGCCGGGAGCCCGATGTGGGACTCGATCCCGGGACCCTGGGATCATGACCTGAGCCGAAGGCAGTCGCTTAACCAACTGAGCCACCCAGGCGCCCTACCCTTTTTAAATATACAATCCAGTGGTTTCTAGCATAATCACAGTGGTGAAACCACTGTGAAACTAATTTCAGAACATTTTCAGCATCCCAAAAAGAAACCCTAGTAACCATGGTAACATCAGTTCCTCTCCCCAGCTCCTGGCAACCACTAATGTACTTTCTGTCTCCGTAGATTGACCGATTCCGGACATTTCATAGAAATGCAGTAACATGACATGTGGCCTTTTGTGTCTGGCTTCTTTCACTCAGCATCCTGTTTGCAAGGTGCGGCCGTGTGGTAGCAGAGGTGTCAGGAGACCATGACTTTTTATTGCCAAATGATGCTCCACTGGCGGGCTCTGCCACGTTTTGCGTATCCAGCCATTCACTGACGGACACTTGGGCTGTTTCTACTCTTCGGCTCTTGGGAATTGTGCCTCTGTGAACGTTCGTGTACAGGTCTCTATGTGGCCATCTGTTTGCATTTCTCTCGACGATGTCCTTAGGGCTGACATTTCAGCTGCCCCAGGCTACCTTCCCTCCAGCCGCATACCAGGGCTCCAGTTTCTCTCCATTGTCACTAACGCTTCATTGTCGTTTTGATTCTGGATTCATGTCCTAGAGGGTGTGAAGTGGTATCTCGTTACGGTTTTGATTTGCGTTTTCCTGACGAATCATGCTGAGCATCTCTCCGTGCTTTATGGTTATTTGCGTATCTTCTTTGGAAAAACAACTGGGTTGACCTGAGCTGGGTCGATTTTCACTTCAAATCTTTTGCCCGTTGCCTAACTCCACTTGGTCATGGGGCTGTGCGGCACCCGGTAAGAGGGTCAGTCTCTATTCAGCGGACTCCTCTGGGCCAGCCTCTTGCCGGGAGGCTGATGCCAATCTTTTCTCCCGCGGGCAGATTCTGGACTCAGAGCTCTTTGAGCTGATGCATCAGAATGGGGACTACACTCACTTCTACTTCTGCTACCGCTGGTTCCTGCTGGATTTCAAGCGAGGTAATGACTTCAGACCGGGGCGTGGTTCCCAGAATCTTTGCAGCAGAACCTCAGGGGGAAGAAAGGGACCATGGAGGCGAGGCTGGGGGTGTTGGAGCAAAGCCAGAGGAAGAGAGGAACACCCGTTTATCGAGTTCTGACTATTGGCTCACCTGCCCTATTTTGCAATGACAGTTTGTTGTTACAGTCCCCATTTTACGGATGAGGAAACTAAGGCTAAGAGTTCAATTCAGAGGTCGGACCGGTGGAGCCAGAATCTTAGGCCACCTCTGCCCACCTCCTAAGCCCAGCTAGTGCCCTTCCATTCTGTTATGCTGCTTATTGGCGGCAAGGTACCCCTTGTCCCGAGTGACATGTGGCCCATGTGACTTAGAAATGGGGTATAGCACAGCACCCTGGTATTCGGCAAAGTGGGGGTGATGCAGATAAGAGTATCTACCCTGCAGGGAGGTGTTTATTGCTTGCCAGACCGTGTGCTGAGCCATTTCTATGTATTTTCTCTTCAAGCCTCACCCCACTTACAGAGGAGGAGAGGGAGACGATGGTGGAGGGGAGGTCACCTTGCCGGTGGTGGGGCTGGATTCAGACTGAGCTTACTGGACACAGGAAGCCTTGCTCTCCACCATCGCTCGCTCTCGTTTCTCGAGCAGCCCCAGAGGCAGCGGCGAGTTCTGCCTGTGTGCAGAAGCAAGGCGGTACCCCCGTGGGTGCTAGAGGAGCTGTAAGGTGCAGGGAGAAAGGGGGACACTGGTCCATCAAGGGACAGCAGGGACAGGTCAGTGTAAATGAAACCCAGCCAGGCTTGGTTCCTTCCCTTACAGAAGCTGGAAACTTACAACCCCCTAGCCCGCACAGCCTTTTCTCCCGATAGGGAAACTGAGGCTTCTGATGGTCCAGTGGCAGAGTGCAGGTCTCCTGTCTCCTGACCTGAGCTCTGTCGGCTGCACGAGGAGAGAAGCGCAGGGCACAGCTGGCCTGGGATCTTCCCAAAGGGAGGGTGGCGGCGGGAGCTCCGTGGCTGACCCTCTCCCCACGCGCATGCGTGCTGGTGCCTTGGCAGAACTCGTCTACGATGACGTCTTCTCTGTCTGGGAGACCATCTGGGCAGCCAAACACGTCTCGTCTGCCCACTACGTCCTCTTCATTGCGCTGGCTCTGGTGGAGGTCTACCGTGACATCATCTTGGAGAACAATATGGACTTCACGGACATCATCAAATTCTTTAACGGTACCCACGTGACCGGGCTGTCCTCTGAGGGGTGCGGGCTTCTGACGGGCCCCTTCCTGGGGCCTCGGAGGGTGGGAGATGCGCTCAGATTGACACGCGGTGAAGGGGATGGGGGAAGGGGTTTCCATCCGCTTCTTGGGTCTATTTCCAAATGGATCAGTTGACATCTGGTAACGCGGAGAATGCATTTTTCTCAGGAATCCAGCAGAAGGAGCATGGGTGTTGAAATCAGGCTCGGGGGCAAACCCCAGCTCTGCCACTAAGCAGCTGTGCCCGTGGATAAGTCACTTCCCCTCTTTCTAAGCCTCTCTTCCTCATCTGTAAAATGGGGTAAAGTGTCTGCTTCGGAGGGCTGATGGGCACAAAAGCAGCCCCAGGAAGGCATTTGAAGTGTCAGAAAGGCACAGCCTTTGAAATGGGATCCCGATCCCAGCCTCTTGGGAGCTGTGTGACCTTGGACAAGTGACTTCCTGTCTCTGGGCTTCAGATTCCTTGGGGATAGAATGGTACTAACCCCTCCCTCACAGAGATGTTGGGACAATTAAATGAGACAACATGGATAAAGCCTATTTTGCAATACCTTGCTCATCTGAGGAGCCCCATAACTGGAAGTTCTAGCTCCTATTATCACTATTTAAAAATTTTTAAAAACTAGGGGCGCCTGGGTGGCTCAGTCGTTAAGCGTCTGCTTTCAGCTCTGGTCATGGTCCCAGGGTTCTGGGATCGAGTCCCGCATCGGGCTCTCTGCTC